AAAACACACCACAAGCCTCACCGAACGTCTCCTTGCTATCGCGATCTTGCCCACAGGAAGCCGCGTGGCAGCAGGGAAAATGGCCACGGATCTGGTTTGTAAGTAGAGGTGAGTTCATAAGTAGAGGTAAATTTTTGGGGCCGAAGCTGGTCGTATCTCGAAAAATTTGTAAGTAGGGGCGTTCGTAAGTAGAGGTACCACTGTACTGTACTCCTGATACGCTTTTTGCAAACCTTTAGAGAAGAATTGTCTTGTTTGCTTGTTTTTAATTAGATGCATTTAATATTTAAATCTCAGCAGTATTTGGCCAACATGGCTTGGATGTTGTGCAGGGCCAGTACTTAGATGGGAGAGTACCAGAGAATACTGAACCATAGACAAAAAAAGCACCACCCCCGAGGAAGACGTCAAGCCATTTTTGTACTCGTGCGAAGAAAACTGCACAAACATATCATGTACCCCCAGAAGTTGAATTTAACATTTTTAACATTTAAGAGAGAGGCTGTGGTATGTTGCAATGGTATAGCATTTCTAATATGGTATTTAGGTCCAGCTCCTACCTAAAGATAAGTTTGAGGAAGTAGGCTAGTGCTTGCTGCTGGTTCACTTTTGGCTTTTTTTTGCTAGCAGGAGTGGCGAAAGAAAACAAGAATTTTCGGTCCTTTTTTTTAAAAAAAAGCATTACATGTGAATTGGGGTCCTTGGTTTCTTCTACTAATCCAGAATCATGAGCCAAAAACAAACCCTCACTTACAATTCTGGTATATTAAGAGAAGAACAAACCAAGTCTCCTACTTTGAACATAATGCTAAGCAAACAACAGATGCGTACGTGCTTATTTCCTTAATCCTTGGTTAAGGGAGCTTGGTTGGATGTAGTATGATGTATTTTTAAAATGTTGTGTAGCTATGGGGTTCTTTTTAGGAGATCTAAATATGTGTCCCTTTAGAAGTCTTGATTTTGTTTGCTTTTTTTCCTGTTTCTGTTGATAAAGGGAGATATCCTCAAATATATAGTAATATATCAGTCCCAGTGGTCTATTTTTTTGTCTTGAGTTGGTTTTCTTAGAGGGAAACATTTCCTATATGTGTGTATTCAGTCCAGTACACCATGTCTGAAGTAGGTGAGTCTAGTAATGGGCTTTCAGGTGCTTTTCCCATGTACTAGAATAAACCTGGACAAGTTTCAGGCATGTTTGTCTTTTTTTTTTTTTTTTGTCTAGCAGTTTGGATATGTATGATATAGCTTCTGCCTTCAGCATTGCAGGATCTGTGAAATTACCTCAGATGTTGGGACTTTAGCGGAGGGCTAGTTTCAGAATCCCAATGGCTGCTGTGCAAATTTGCATTTGAAACTAATTCAGAAAATAGACAAAACAGAGCTTTGAGGCAAGACTGGTTGGTTTCTGCTTTTCAGCATTTCCACTTCCCAGATACTTCAAATACCTTTCAGGGTGAGGTCATTCTAGTTATTTTTGTTCCTGGTGTCTCATTCTGTACTACTTTCAAGTCATTCTAATGGCTGTTTGGGTCAGAAGAAGACGTGGGAGTTGAAGGTCAAGATATTGGAAAGAAAGTACAAGAATTTTTCCTTTGGGAGACATTTGAAGTTTTAGGTGCCTGGCAGCCCTTGAGATGTTGTGGTCCAGCTGCCATGTGGTCTTTCAGTCGCTGCTACTGCTGTTTACAGGACATTATCAGGGTGCTCAGCGCTGTCCACGGTAGAAGAGAAAGGTCAGATACGTATCTCAAAGGGCTTAAAGTCAATAATTCAGCAAAGGGCAGATGGCAAGGAACAATATGCTAGTAAAGCTTGACTTCAGCCAAAGAGGAGACAAAGCAAAATGGCTAGTTTTGTGAAGAGATTTGAAGGAAGTAAGAAAGGTGGCGTCACAGAGGCCGTTCCAGGCAAACAAAACCTCTGTCCCTCCTGCAGGATGCGGGGTGTCACCTAATAAGTGCAGTCATTATTGAAATAAGGGGTGGAGCAGCAGCCTTACCTATTGGTATTTCATGGGCTGGGGGAGTGAAGAGTTTTTCATGGCTGCGACCAGGTGCTATCGTTTATATTGCTCCCAGGTTTGTAAATGTCTCTTTGTTTAATATCTTCTGTGGCAAGGAAAACTTTCCTCCAAGCAGAAATCACAAAAAGCAGCTTTTGTTTTTCTCTTATGCTGCCACAAAAATGGTGACTACGGCCAATCCTGCATGAGAAGGTTTTTCAGCAGGTCCTGTATGTTTTTCATTTGTTCAAATATGGCTCCAGAATTGCGGAGGCTCTAAGTTAGCAGAAATGTTTGCTTCCTTGTGCTGCTGCAGCAACACAAGCAAACATTTCTGCTAACTAAGAGCTGAGTCTTAGGTTGTTCACTTCTTGGCCAGTTCAGCCTGTTCGTTGCAAGGACATGGCGTGCGGTTGTTGGAGTGTGAAAGGCCTGCCGTTTGTTGGGCTATATCTTGTGTGAATTATGTAATCTGGTTCAGTTTGCCTTGGAAACCGTAGCCTCCGAATTTGACGTCTGTTGCAGGAGAGGGCGGTATTCTGCCAGTGTTTGGCGGCTCTGAGCAGAAACTAGCAAAGCAGAAACCAACTTTGACTGTGTTAAGGGCAGTGGTTACTAACAGGCCATATACCTGGATCATTCTCTTTCCATATGGACCTGTCTTGGACACAGAGGTTATGCTCATTTAAGGTGCTGAGGGTTCTCAATCTGTGGTCTGGAAAAAGCCTCTATCTGCCCAGGAGACTGGGTATTTGTTGCCAGTTATAGCAGATAGCAGGGTTAGTATTGGGGTGTGATGTTGTTCAGATGATGCATATACCAGCTCAGGGGGCTTTTTCAGCTTTGGCCCCTCCTAGCCCTGCTGCTGCTCTTCCTTGCTGTTCTTTGATCAGCATGAAAATTAGGAGAGGAGAGGGGAGCCCACTTGCCATCATGCTCTAACACCCTACACATTTTTTACTAGATAGAACTTTGCTTTGTGGTAATTCCAGCTGCTTGTAGGGACTTAAAAAGAGGTGATTTGAGTACCTCAGTGGGTGCTGAGGGAGGAGTGTAAGTGCACTGATGCCTGTACCCTTCCTGTTGCTCAGCCCTGAATTATACTGAGTGGCAGCTGCCAAGGTAAACAGTCCTTTTCTTAATCTGCCTGAACTTGGCACCTTCTGCTCCTAAAACAGATGCTGTTCTGGCTAGCTAGGCCCACTGTCTTTCTTTTAATGTGCTTTGTTACTACTGTACAGATAGTCCTTGACTTATGACCATAATAGGGACTGGAAAATTTGTCATTAGGCAGTGCAGTTGTTAAGTGAGACATCACGTACCTGATTTTACGACCTTTTTTGCTGTAGTTAAATGAATCATCGTGGTTATTGAGACTCACGTGACCATCACGTGACCTGCCAGCTTCCCCATTGACTTTGCTGATCGGAAGCTGGATGGGACGGTCATAAATGGTGATCATGTGACCGCAGGATGTTGCAACTGTTGTAAAAGTGTGACAGTTGCCAAGCGTCCGAATTGCGATCACATGACTGCATGGATGCTGTGACGGTTGTAAGTGTGAGGACCAGTTGTAAGTCCATTTTTTCAGCACTGTCGTAACTTTGAACAGTCGTTAAATGAATGTTCGTAAGTCGAGGACTATGTGTATGTGCAGCTTAGTGGTAGAGCACCAACTTTGCATGGAGAAGATCCTAGTTTTAGGCTCTGATATTTCCAGTTAAAAGGATCACAATTACTTGCCCTAGATTTTGGATAGTAGCAACTAGTTAGAATAAATTTATGGCTGGAAGGACCAATGATTTGAATTCAGTCTAGGACAGTTTCATGTGCTTAGAAGAGTACTTTGATAGATAAGAATATGTATGTGTGTTAAAAGAATTCTGCTGAACACTATTACAATGTAGTATCCTTGCTGTTGAAGGAGGGATTGGGCTAATTGGTTGGAGGGAGATCAGCTTTCCCAACTAGTTACTCCTTAATAGGGCTGTGCAAAGGCAAAAAGATCATTTGGGACACACAGGATGTTCATGTGACACCTCTCTGCAACTCCCTAAAGCAGCTGCATCTTCCCTTGGGATTGCATGGTTACCTGACAGCTGAAACATGATTGTGGGAAAAGATGTCTGAGGAGTTGTAAATAAATTGCAACATGCCTATCCATAAGTGCTGTCCATGGTAATCTTTAGAATCTTTAGAACCATATTGGTTTGCATGTGCCATATTGTTGTAGTTTCTGCAGGATTGTCATTCTGTAGCTTTCAGAGATACTGCTAACCTAACATGAGTGTCACTGTGAATATGTGAAAAAAGTTCTCAATTTTCTCTTTCTTTCCTTATCAGATTGTGCAGTAAATGTTCACAAAAACTGCAAGAATCTTCTGCCTGAATGCAGCAGCAGCAGGTCCAAGGTAGGCCACACAATCTTATTCACATACACACTTATTTATTTAATCATTTCTGTAGCACTCTAATTTCTTATAGCTCAAGGTGGTTTACAATCCAGATAAAAATTAAACAAGCAGCCCAGATTTATCATTCATATCAAAGTGTTTCATAATGTGCGGGCTGCTTTTTTTGATTCTGATACAAAAAGGTTCTGATACAGCTGTTCTGGGCTTGAACAATTTGAATGAAAAGATGTAATTGTTTATCTTCAAAGCCAGAGTACGGTTTGCTGTTGCAGTTGAAATGTCTGTGAATAGTAGTAGGTGACTTGAAGAAATGAGCCAATCAGTTTATTTTAGGTAAAGACAGACAATAATCATATTCCATTAATAGCAGTGGGGTGGAGATAGAATTAATGGAAATGAGTTATGATTACTTCCTGAATCTTTCTAAAAGGAGCTTTAATTAACAGGATCAAAGTAGGCTAATAGTTTGTCTTGCCCAGTACTGGTAGATGACTAGTAGCATCTTTTAAGTGGTTCAAGCAGAGAGTTTCCTTTTCTATTACTTGCTACCAAATTATTAATGTTCCTTCCCAAATACGTTCTGTCAATGTCCCTGAAGAAAAAGTTGGGTAATATTATTGGTTGACTGATTGATACACAAAACAAAACCAGAATATTTGTTTAAATCTTTTAAAAATTGCCCTGTACTGGAGAATGTTTACTTTCCATTTAGTTAAAACTGGGGAGAGTGAGATTATTCCTGTTAATATGTTGCTGTAAACAGCCATTTAAACCTTGAAGTAGGATTGAGGAACTTGTAGCCCTCCAGATAATTCCTTCCCTGAACATTGATCCTGCTAGCTAGGGTTGATGGTAGACTAGTGTTTATGGCATCAGATTAATGTGGCAACTTCATCATTGTATATAATTGTTTAACTAGTGGAAGTTAGTGGAAGCTGTCATGGTGTGCAAGTCCCCAGAAGGACTTGACAGACTTTAAGTGCATCTGTGAAGAACACAAATTCCAGAAAAGTACCACTTTTATTTGTTACGAAGATAAAACAAACAATTACATCAAAGAAAAGCCAAACAACTACTTAAAGACTGGTATTCCTTTTATAATTGTCAGCCCCACTAGGTAGACCAGAGCAGGAAATCAACTCCACAGAAAGAATAGAACTACTTTTATTGAGATTAGCTATAATAACTGAATCTTGCAAGTCTGATGTATGTATTGTACCTCCTCCCTATCCTTATACAGGTAGGCCTCGCTTAACTACCACAGTTGGGACCGGCAGCTCCATCGCTAAGTGACATTGTCATTAAGCAAGACATCACATGCCTGCAACAGACTTATGACCTCACTTCTGCGGTTATTAAACAAATCACACATGGTCATTAAGCGAGACATCATGTGACCACGACTTGTGATTTTACTGCTGGCTTCTCTGTTGACTCTGCTCATCGGAAGTTGGCTGTGAAGTGCGCAAATGGTGATCACATGATTACGGAATGCTGTGACGGTCGTAAGTGCAAGGACCGGTCATAAAGTTGCATTTTCATCACTGTTGTAACTTTGAATGGTTGCTAAACAGGGCAGTTATTAAGTGAGGTCTACCTGTTCCAGTAAATCAGGGAGGCCTCTTCCAAATGTTGCTCTGGACTTTAAAATGTTTCAGCCCCTTTTGCCCAGGTAACGTTCTTGCTTATTTCTGTCCAGGTCATCTTCCTTACTCTCTGTAATAACAACTTCCATTGGGTAGTTGAGGATCTGAGATATAAACCCCAACGTTCCTGTGGGTATTTGAAGCTCCCATTCAATCCTCAGTGATCCTCAGTTAAGAGTATAGATAGGTCCTAGGTAATAAGGCTGTCCCGCTAGATCAGTGTGTTTGAGTTCAGATTAGGGAGCTGAAAGCTTTGAATTCAGGGAGTTGGGGCTTGCTTCGGAGCTGTTGCTCTGTGGAAACGAATACCAGTTTTGGCATGGAGCTGAAGCATGTGTGATTCTTTCTCTCTTTTCTCTTTCTGTTATAGCAAAGGGATTTGCAACTCCGGCCCTCAGGCTCCCCCCCTAGTTTACTCCAGAGTGCCTGTCCAGGTTTGTATAAAATATAATTTTTCTTGTGCTGGCTTTGAATACAGAAGGCTTTGTACTGTGTCTTTGAAAAATACATTATTAAAACTAATGTAGTTTGAGCATTGCAGGGTACAATTTGTGGAAAGCTGCCAGAAAGAGTGGAGCAGTTATTCTGTCTTGTTTGGCTCAAGAACATTCTAGACTATTCACCAATCTTCTGTCCTTGTGTATCTTAAATTTTTTATTCAGCTTTACTTCATTATGCTGTGAAACTTTAAAAAAAAAAAAAAAAGGGTGGGAGGGGAACAACCACCACAGAGCAATGAGAGAATCAATAAGCTGGTTTTTCATTGATTGGTTATTCTGTAGCTGTGAAATTGAAAAATATATCTGGATAGTCTGCTTTTATTAAATGTGCCTGTGGACAGGGCTTATATATTGGGTGCATTATCTTAAATATTGTCCAAAATTAAACTGACAAAAGAAGCTAAGAGAAAAAGCAAAGAAACATCCCATGAGGAAGTGGAGCAAATTGGAAAGATTATTTTCTGAGTCTTAGATTTTATTTCTGTATGAACTAGTCTTTGCTGCCAGGATGTAGTACCATCCTTGAGCAGCCTTTGAGAGTTGCTGGGAGTCCGGAGGCATATGAATTTAATAAATTTCATCATCATCTATTTAAGAACTTTCTGATTTTGTTTATTGCATAGTTTTATATATCACCCATCTCCATTGGACTCAGTGATTGAGTGAATCAGTGATTCGGTTTACAGAATCAAAGGATACATATAGTAAAAACAAGAATAGACAGCAACTTTCTATCTAAAAAGCAGCCTGTGCACCACTAAATGTTCAGTAGAACAGCCAGGTTTTAAGTGATCTGTGAAAGGCAAGGAGGTCTGGGGTGTTCCATATCTTGGGAAGCAAGATTTTCCAGAGCATAGGGGCAGCTCCACAGGAAGCGTGTGGTTGGGCCCACACTCTCTTGACTGTGTGTAGGAGGAGGATCCTCAGTAATTCCTCCTTAGAACAATGTAGAGGGTAGGCTGGATCTTGTTGGGAGAGCCCCTGTAGGTGTTTGGGAGCTAGGCAGATAGGGGGTTCAAGGTGATAACAAGCACTTTGAATTAGACCCAGAAAAAAATTGGTAACCAGTGCAGTAACTGGTATTATGCGGCAGGACATGAGCCCGTCTTGCACGTGGCAAAACTCATGGCACAGAGGGCTTTGTCCGCTTCCTCAGAATCCCCTCTGACTGCCCAAATGTGAGCAGTTTTATATGCAAAAAAACCAACAACAACTCACAAACATGTCAGGAGCAATTTCACTTTTACTTTTCTGCAAAAGATAACCTTTAACAGAGTTGCTGTATAAGAGGAGATAAGAGAGGAGAAGTAAGCATGCTGCATTGCTTTTAACACTACGGTGTACTCCTGAATGTGGTTATGTAATTGTGCATGGTTGCATTTATTCCTCATTTTTGATGGTCCAGGCATCTCTTCATTGACTACATTTTCTGAAGCTCCTTGATAAACCAAGGAGCCTAGAGGGATCTGCAGAGAACCACTTGCTGCATTCAAGTTCCAGAAGTCAGGGAGGTACATAATGGAACTCCCACAAGATCGTTGGGGGAATCTCCATGTGCCCTGTGAAATCCCAAGGGGTCCACCAGCCCTCTGTGATAGATGTTCTTAATTAGTCCTTCACCCTTGCAGAGGTTCAGCATGCTGACAGTGTACATGCAAACCAAAAAGTGCTGTGACCACAGCAAAGAACTGGTGATCATTTTCTCCATTACCCACTTATGTTGTATCTGCTCCAAGGTAAATACCAGGTTGAGCATGTGACAGTTTGTATTTGTAGGGGCTAAGATCTGCAGGACAGGGATAAGCCCATGGAGGCTGTAAACTCCTGAGCCGATAGGGACTCCCCCCAGGGCATGGATGTTAAAGGCTCCCAGCACTAAAAGCTTGGGAGTCTCTACCATGAGCAGATCTTCAGTGACGTCCAGGAGCTCAGGTAGGCCATTGCTGAGCAGTGGGGTGATTAGTACACCAGCAGCAATCCCATCCTGTCCTTAAGGCCCAATGTAATATACAGGGATTTCTACCCAGCTACCCACAGGGCAGCACTTTGTCTCATAGATAATAATTGCTACATTTCCTCTCTAACCATGGTATTAAGAGTAGCCAGATCTGGGCACCCATCCAGTATGAAGTCATGGAGGGATGCAGTCTTATTGCACCCAGATTTTCTAGTCTCTGGAAGCATTGCTAAAGTTTTTTCTATCATTACCATTTGTTTAATGTTTTACAGTACTTTAGATATTTTCTAGTTACGCCTCATTATTTCTCTGGGTATGCATTTTTTCTAACTATTTGTGGTGTTTTACTCTAAATAAAGGATAATAATATAGAAATGTCTTCTCTTCCTACTCTCTGATGATTCTGATATTTCTCCTTCCTGATTTTCTACCTAGAATCTCTTGTGGTCTTCCTTCCCTGCATAATTGTTAGCATGGATGTGCCTTTGATTTTGGATGAATAATACTTTACATTTTTAGTTAAGAGTACAAACTAATTCTTCTGAGCTGCCATTAGGACATGACCTAATGATATATAGACTTTGACCTGAGAGAGTTCGTGTACAGCCTGAGAGCTTTTGGCAAGTGGATTGTTACAAGAGGAGTTGGCATATTTGGGCAGTTTAAAAAAGTAGGCTTGTTCAGAAATCGCCTTCTGGAGATAACCGAGGAGGGATGATTGAGGGTTGAGTCTGCTACCAGAAGAAGCTTTTTTTATTTTACAGGTCAGGTACGATTTTGAGGTGGGTGTCTTTGATACTTCATTTGTTTCTCCTGCTGAGGCAAAACAAGGAGTGGATGATCTTTTACAGCCCCCAGTCTCAGTCTTCTTGAGCTTTGGAAGTCTAAAAAGAGAAGCAAGAGGGGAAGGAAACGTGGGGGGATGTTTCCTTCAGCCCTGTGGTTGAGCATCACAGTGATCTATTCTGTGGGAAGAGGAGAACAGTGATCAATAGTCGTTCTCAGCAGTGTGCAAACTGTGCTAATTGAACTCAGAGTACAGTTTCTTGTTTTCACCAGTCCATTTTCAGGGCATTCAAAGGGTGAGAGAAGAGAAGGGCTGGGGAGCTGTGGAAAAGGAAAACGTCTCTGCTGCTTAGAAGACTTGAAGTAAAGCCTCTCCTAATGCCCTTCCTGGAGCAATGGGAGAACAGGAATGATGTTCTGCAATAATCCAAGCACCTCACCTGCCTAAGCAGTATAGAGGTTTCATTAGGCAGATGCTCTATTTGGCTTCTCATAAAGCATCTGAAGTGGGGGGGGGGTGTTCCATTTTCCCCAACCCCATATGGCTTAGGTAGTTCCAAATACCAAGCTGTATTACTTGGATCTGGCTTCTTGGACTGATGCAAGATGCAGAGAGGCAATGAGATGTCTTTTGAGATTTGTGCTATTATCATTCCTCTCCCCCTCCCCCCCAAAGTGATGCCGAATGAAGAAAACAAGTAAACTTCTGTAGTGTGTGCTGGTTTGTTTTGAGGAAACTACAGAGTTCCAAATCTTTTATACCTTCTGGGACACTTGCTGGGAGAATACTAGGAGTGTTTCATCTTCTCTGGCAATCCTTCCTGATAAATCCTTCAAATTCTTTGTCCTCTGTAATCTTTTTCCATGGTAGATTTTGAAACAGGAGTTTAGCCTACTTAAGAGGAAAATGACCAAGGGACTGAGGAGAGAAGACTTTGAAGGAGAGAAGGCAGATGTGGGAATAGTAAAGCTTCCTGCAGTGCAAATCCCCTGTCCTGTTTTTATTACCTTGATAGATACATGTTAGGCAACATAATTTTAGTGAGCTTTGTTCATGCTAGTTGCAGGATGTTTTTGTTCTCTTGTCTATTTTTTTTTTCTAGAAAAGTGGGATATAAATGTGTTCCAGTGTGTGGCTTTGCAGAGCAGGCAGGAGAAAGGCATCAACTGGATTTTGCATGCCAAAACTTGTCATGGAATATTTCTGTTGACATTTTAGTGAGTGCCTTGTAGGTCTTCAAGGCATATTTGCATCAGTAGGCCTCAATGAAGGCGGATAGGAGGATGGTCAGATGATGTTTCCCTGCCACCAAATAATTCCTGGAAGTCAATGGATCTCTCCCCATCTTCCAGTCTGTCTTGGTTTTGCAACAACAGCATCTTGGCAGGGAGCACCTGTTTCTATGGAAGGCCAAATGCCTGGCTTGGTCTACAAGATTTGGTGTCTGTGTTCTTATATACAGTTACAAAAGAGGGTGGAAGACCACTTTTGTGACAGCAACCTTTTTTAATGTAAAAATAGTGGGAATATTAATAATAATAAATATTAAGAATAAACTCATATAATTAAATTATGTTTAATTTAATCATCTTCAGTAAAATGAATCTGCTTGAAAAATGTATGGCTTGGTAATTAGGTCTGATTAATCTGTTAGCTTATGACCCCAAGTGCAGAGTGTTATAAACTGTGACACTTTAGCCATCAGCATGTAGGTGAGATGCAACAACTGTGAGCTTTCTTCTGCCACTTTTTCTCTCTCAGATAATTCTTGCTTCAACACAAGTCATTTTCTCCCTTCTGTTGAAAAGTGAGAATAATTAAGTTCTGTAAATACTGATTGGTACACTTTCTCTCTTTTTGCTAAAAAAGATACTTTGCAATTTCCACATTAGATTGAGGACACAGTAGGGACTGATTTTCTCCCTTTCTGACCTGCTGCTGGTTAGCCAATACAGAATTGTTGGGTGACAGCTTTTACATCTCTAGACATTTCTAGAAGGAGCACACGGTGGTATAAAGGTGGAGCATGCTCAAGCAATTCTGCTGTGGGCAGCCAGTTTGCAAACATGGGAAATACTAACTCCAAGGGCAGTGTCAGCAGCGAGTCAGTCCTCTCAACTCGCTCAGAGCTCCTGTTCTGTGGCTCATTTTCCAACAAGTGGAATGAGACAGTCTTTCTGGAAAATGAGCGTCTGACCTCCAAGATCCTGTCGGTTCTCCATCCTCACTCAGAGAGCCGAGGGTTGCAAGGAAGCAACCTACAATTTGCTCCCCAATTCCTGAGTACCAACTCTGTCTTTTCTTCTGTAGCCACCTCTCTCAAGGAGCACTCCTGCAGGGCCCTCCTGGGCCCAGATGGCAGGAACCCTGGCTTGCCCCAGAACCTCGGCATGACAATTGCGCAGAGGGGAAGTTTGCCGTCTCAGCTAAGCACCATCTCTGCTGGGGCTGTTGGTAAGCTTGGGTGAGTAGGCAGTTTGCTGGATACAAATGGCTGCTTAAGGAACTCTGTCTGGAATCGGGGATTATCCTGCCTGGGAAGAAGTAACTGCTCATCCTTAAAAGTGCTCCACTTTTGCTTTTTTTTTTTTTTGCTTTTTTCTATTTTTCTTCTGGAGAAAACAAAGCGTGGGTCTCACTGATGGACTCCAACTACATTTCTATCCAAACTCAAACGCAGGCTTGATGTGTTTGCCATGATTTTAATGGAAGCTCTGGGTTTATGAAGTGGGGGAATATTAGCTGATACTGTAGTGCAATTTCATGTTTTAATTTTGCAGCATACATGTAAATCCATGCATGAATGGGCATCTGCTGGGGCAGTAATAGAGTTGTTTTTTTTTTCATTTCTGCAAGTGTGCGTATGCATCTTGTCTGTTCAGTTTGCTGAAAGGGAAAATGGTACTTCAGATTGGGTATACAGAGTTTTGCTATAATCAGTCAGGAAATAATAAATAATGGTTGCCAATCATTGTGGGATTCAGTAGAAGAAATTTGGATTATTAAATAATCAATCTTATAGGCTTAGCCACTAGGTCAGAATAGCAACCTGTTGAGTTGGGAATCAAAAGGGAATCCAAAACCTATTGGCAAATAGTATCCATAAAATCAGTTCTTAGTGTAAACACATCTCAAGTTTGTTATGCGAGTTTTGAATGGATTTGTTTTCCCATAGAAGTTCTGCACTATTGTTTTATGAATCCTTGTGTTCTATGGGTTTTTAACACCATAAATGTGGAAACCTTCAACTGCATAAGGTTTTCTGCATGAGGAAGAAAACTATTTTAGCCATCAGTGATAGAAGAAGATCCATGGCTTTGCTGCCCCTTTTCTACCTCTTCTGTGTTTATCAGACATTTATTGGCAGCTTCCTAAGTATGCCCATTTCATGGAGTTTTGAATTTTTCAGTTGATTCCTTGGTACGTGTGAGTGCTGTCACCTTTTTCTCATGCCACTACAGCACTCTATATTGGCAGTATTCCTGACTGTTCTTCCTCGACAATCTCAAGATGCCTTTCCAAAGTAAGCACACGTGTACTTCAGGACTGCTGCTCTTCTTGAGTTGTTCACCGGAAGGTATTTGGCCCAGCCTGTTGTGTTTCTCTGCACTCATCAGAATAAGAAACATCCTCATGAAAAAATAGCTTCGGGCCATTTTCTGGCCATATGATTTGCAGTGACTCAGTCCTGGGGCAAGAGCTGATCTGGTTCAATGTTTTCCTTTGACTATTCAGACTCACTGGGGGAGAGATGGATGAAGGGGATTCTGGCTTCATGAAACTTAAACCAGCCTCTGAAGATGCTGTCTCACTGGCACCATCAACCACGGAATCAGTTTTTGTGGAAGGTAAGGGGCTCTTCTGCTGAGAGGCATCAGTAGACACGCCTAATGATTAATTTAAGATAAACCTGTTTAGCTTGTATAGAGAGGAAGAAGATGCTTTGAAAAGTTGGAGAGGCATTTATTTTGAATAGAATGTCCCTATTTACCAATTTAATGACATGGAGCTGGGAAATGGACGGAGAAAGAACGTGAGCAGCCGAAACACAGAAAATGCAAATGCATATCCAGGCACGTATGGCTGCATTGGCAAAAGAGTGATTATTTGGCTCAAATAGCAGCAGCTGTTTCCACTGGCTGTTGTGGGGGGAGAAGGGAGATGGCAGAACCCCCCCAGCCAGCTTGGTTGGATTGAGCTGTTCTTTAGCACATCTCTCAGAGCAGTTTGCTGCTGGAATTGACAAAGAATAGGTTTGTGCAACATATTGGGCTGTTCTGATTGTTCCAGAAGTGATCTGACCTCAGAATAGGCCTGTTTCAAAGTTAGAATACTTCTGGAATACTTGGAACGGCCTGTTTCTGGGTCAGAACCTTTCATTTTCCACACCTGTGGCAGGGAATTGAAACTGCAAGAAGGTGATGTACTCAGATCTGCAAAACAAGCAAAGCTAGAATTTTAATCCAGTTTGCCAGGGTCATTCTCTTAAGTCCATTACCTATTCAATTCCTTCATTGTTTTTCTTGTGCGAAGAGCATGGCTGCTGAATCATGCCAAAGTGTGTCCATCTAACTCAGCATTTTTATTTCCCATGGTGGCCATACAGATGTCTCTGCAAAGCACCCAAAAAGGAACTGGAAGACAGCAGAGCAACCTTGTTTTTTGCCTGCTAGAATCTTGCAGGTAGACCATCTCTGAAGTCAGATGCTCCAATTAACTATCACAGATCCCTAGCCTTTGACAGAGTGCTCTTTCTCTTCCCTTTGATAGGGCTCTTTCATAAGCTTGTGGCTGCTCTCCCTCCAATGTGTGGTAATAAATTCAAATGTATGTTCTGCACTGTGTTGAGGTTTTTAAAGAGTTAGGGTGACTTCAGTTGAAAGTTTTTACAGCAACAAGGTTGTTTTCTCTGACCTCAAAGGTTCTTTTTAGTTCTTTTGCTGCATCTTCTCTTCATCTCTCACTACTTTCATTTATCAGAGTTATAATTACCATTTATCCATAATATATCCTGGATATTGCACTGTGTGGTATAGATTTTATAAAACATTTATAAGCATTTGGCCCTTCACAAATTAAGAATTATAATGCAGGCCTTTAGAGTTCCACTGTGGCAATAATAACACTGTTCTACCTTTGTTGTCCTGATAATGGCATTTTGAATGCTTCTCTGCATAGTTGTACATACATTTTCATCTGAACTGTGACTCTTCCCTTCCAGATGTCCAGTTTGCCTCCTTGCGGAATGAACTGGAGACAGATGCTCGGGAGTTTGCAGCTCAGTCTTGGAGTCTGGCAGTAGAGCAGTCCTATGTGAAGAACCAGGAGCGGGATATAATTAAAAGGCAAGATGTCATATATGGTAAGCTTTTCTGCCTTTTCTCTGTGACTTAATTTACAGTATTTGCTTTGCTCTCTCTGAATGCTCCTGCTGCTTTCATTCATGTGTGTGTAGCTCTTGGCTTGAGAGTTATGCTTGTTTTGAAATTGGACATATGCTACTGATTGTGGGTCTGATGTGCTTTCCTTTTTTGTGTACTCAGTAAGATGGTAAAGAAATCTGAGTTGAGTGGATGGCTTTCTGGGTGTGGAAAATCAGAGTCTATCTCTGGCCAGTCTGAGGGGCTTGATGCTGATGCCTTATCCCTGCAGAGTTGATGAGGACAGAGATGCACCATGTCCGGACTTTGAAGATCATGTTGAAGGTCTACTCACAAGCCATGCGAGAGGAGCTGCAGTTCAGTAATTCTGACATCCACCGTATTTTCCCATGTGTGGATGAATTACTGGAGCTCCACAGAGCCTTCCTCTTCAAGCTGAAGGAGCGTCGGAAGGAGGCTCTGGAAGAAGGTAGTGAGTGCAACTATATCATCCAGAACATTGGGGACGTCCTGGTGCAACAGGTGAGTGTTTATGTAGATTTTGCTTATGGAATGGGGTGGGAAAGGCAGGGGTTCATCCTAGGATGTAAAACACTTCCTGGGTTCAGAGGAGAATTTTTGCCTTTTTACAGCAGTTTTTCATCTGGAAAATAGGCCAGTGGGCTGTCATGATATTTCTGAGCAAAAAAACTACAACTCTTAGGTGAATGTGAGAGCCACTACCTTTGCATGTCAGAGGTTCTCAGAATAGGCCTCAGCAACTGCAGTTAAATGTATTCCAAGTGGCAAGTGTTGGAAAAGACTGTTTTCTATCTTTGATATCAGTGATAATACTGAGTTACATATACTGTCTCTGTGTCTCTTAAAATATAATCTCCCTGTGGTGAGGAATGGCTGTTTCACTACTCTGTTCACACCCTCACCTGACTTCTCTCCTCCAGGGCTGTGCCATGCACCAGTTTAGAAATTACTCAAAATCCCAACCCCATTCTCAATTTTTTTCCCCCTTTCTGGTTGAGATCTGTGATAGACACAAAAATGTTGAACTGTGATGTCTGTTTTCCAGATAAACCAGAGTGTGCTGTGTGGAACTTGTTCTTCTCCCAAATGGTAGCTGTGCCTGACTCTGCTTTCCTTGTTTAGTTTTCAGGAAAAACAGGAGATACATTGAAGGAGAAATATGGCATTTTCTGTAGCAGCCACAGTGATGCTGTGAGCTATTATAAAGAGCTAATGCAGCAAAGCAAGAAGTTCCAAAACTTGATTAAGGTAAAAGAGATGATTCCAGATGGGAACTGATTTCATCCTGTCATACCAGGCTTCTTCTGGTTGCACTGAAATCCAATATAGCAGTAACACAAGGAACCCTTAACCCTTAGTAATTTTGGTGGCTTTCAGAAATGTTAGGCAAAATGCACAGAGGTGCAGGAAGAGAGGCCTTTAGACAGTTCATTGTTCCTTCCTACATAGAGAAGGACCCAATATGTGCCACTGGTGTTTCTTGTGGCAAAATATTTAACTGGAAAGTTTTTAAAAAGCCAGTCTAGAAGAAGATAATGATAAACCCCTTCTGTATTGTGACCAAGAACAGTATACGGGTGCAACATTAGGGATCAACCCTGATTCAAGGGAGTCTTTACTGTTACAGTACATGTTTCTAACAAAAGTGTAGTTCAGGAAAGAATTGACTCTTGTGCTTATTTTCTCAGTGCTTCACTGAGCTTGTTGCTATACACACCAGTAAGGGTGCTGGGCTTGATAGGCTTTTGGGATGTGATACAGCAGGACTTTCTCTCGGAACCAAGAGGATAGAACTTGGAACAAATGGAAAGAATAATAATGTATCTTTGGAATTACTTGCACAGGAAACTCTGCAAACTCATTTACTGGTGAGATAGAATGATTATTGCAGGTTGTGGTGTCTAAAGAAAGTTGGTTATAGGAAGGGGACAAGTCTAAGAAAAGTTAAAACTTGAATGCATGTTTTCACATACTAGAGAAGAATAGGGAAAGGACAGGTAATTTTCCTTCATTTTTTCTACTTTTTTGAAGAGACAAAATCTGTGATATATCATAAATTCACCTCGGTGTTGTTAGTAAGTATATTTGGTGCATGTGATGCATTTCAGAAAATCAGCAATTCTTCCATTGTGAGACGGCTGGGTATCCAGGAGTGCAATCTTTTAGTCACTCAGCGCATCATGAAGTATCCTGTCCTGGTGGAGCGCATCATTCAAAACACAGAAGGTGAAGAACTTGGCTTATTGGGGGTACCCGTTTAGCCACTTTTGGATGCTTCTGTGCTTTATCACTAGGGAGCACAATTCACCCCAAGCAGCAAACAGGGCAAAACTGGTGCACAGATGCAGAATTTGACTTTTCTCTTCAGTATTTTTTTGATTCCTGGAGCCCGGACAATATTCCTTCCCAGATACTTTAGACTATAACTCCCACAGCCCCTTCCCATTGGCCAGGTTGTGAATCTCCAAAAAACAAACAACAAGCAAACCCTTAAGCAGGGCCAAGCCTAGTAAGAAATGAATAAACAAACTAACTTGTATGTTGCCCGACTCTCAGCAACCTTAATTGGATAAGAAAAAAGTAATGGGAAAGCACTTTAGTATTGCAGCCAAGAAAACTACATGGATTTGGCCATAGTCACCAGGAAACAAGGTCAAATCAAGGAGTCTTTACTCCTATAGCAGCTTGCCTGGGCATCTGGATTGGCCATGGTACCATTCCTCTTAATTGTCTTGCAATGCTCCCCTATCTTGAGAATCTGTCATGCCCCTTTTCTGAATCTTTTTCATCCAGAATTGAAAACCTTTTAATGGTCATTTTGTTGGGCTTTTAGATTTTGCCTTTTGCTGGTTGCACTGTGTTGTATATGTTGTTTATTAATATTGTGTGTGTATATATGTATGTACATGTACATATGCATAATCTGAAACCTATGCTACTAGTCACTTAAAAGGATCAGTGAAGGGTCACAGCTGACAGACTTACAATGCTTTTGTTTGATATATTTTATCTCTGGTACTTAAATGTTTTCTCCTGCAATCCATTTGGCAATTTTTAAGGTGCTACAAAATGCTGGTGCAGTGTTTTGCTATATGAACTAATCCTGATGGCAAAGAGCTATAGGCGTTGTTTTCCTTTCCTATACATGCTGTTTCACTTCATCTTTGCAGCCGGCACAAAAGAATATGAAGACCTGACCAAGGCATTGTTACTCATCAAGGAGGCCATCATAGCTGTTGACACCAAGGTGAATGAGTATGAGAAAAGACAGCGCCTTCGGGAAATTGTAACCAAGATGGAACTCAAGTCTTCTGGGAAGTTTAAGAACGGCCTTATCTTCCGGAAGGAGGATATGCTTCAGCGGCGCCTCCTGCTAGATGGGATGCTATATTGGAAAACTGCTTCTGGGCGCCTGAAAGGTGAGTTCTATGGGTTGCCTGTTCTCCTTTTCAGGCGTTTGCTGCATTGCTCATTGGTTGGATATACAGGAGTGTCTCAGTGACATCTTTGGAAAAAAGATTTATCTCATGCTTGGTTTGCCCAATTAAAAGTTTGCAAAATACCATTTAGTAAATTAGCTTCTGTCCCCAAAGAGCCTGCCTAGTTCAGAGAGAATCATTAATAGAGATGATGAGTTATTGAGTCAGTGTCCTTTCTCAGGCACCCAAGGGAAAGGCGAAACATCTGCTTCATTTGTGTCAGTAACTGACTTCCAGCTGTTTCACACTTCAGAGCTGTGTCATGTTAACCTCATGATATAGGTGCATTTTCTGCTCTTTGGAACATTAAACTTGGCAGGCTATTAACTTGCTGGTCTTAAGCAAGGAACGTCTTGCCCATATTCTTCTTACTGGCTTTCTGCTCTGATGTGATGGCTGCAGCCTAATGTATCACATGAAGCTGAATCTTTGTTTAAAGTTCTCATTGAGCTACTTTTCCTTCCCTCCTCCAGGAGTATTTTTTCTCTTCATTTGGTTTTCTGAACATCTTTGAGTCCATCTGTACCTGAGTAGTTAATCCTGTATCTGAGTAATGATGCTTTAGCATCGTAAGAGTAGGCAATCTAAAATGAGTTCTCTGTTAGTATAAAAGGTTCCGCTTTCTTGTTATATTTTTTCCTTTTTATAACTTAGTGATAAACCAGATCTTTTGCATACTTTACATAGCAAAATATCTGGAGCATCCATATGCAATTACTATAATGATCAGAGTATAAAATTGTACCCTAGAAAGGCTATGTGGTGATGTGTAAGTAAATGCACTAGCAGTGGGACCTAAATGACACTATTCTGACTAATCCCCCAAAGGAGAAATTTCAGCAGCAAGTGATCCTGAACTAGTGCCCTGCTAGCCAGTAGAATATAAAAATCCTTGCTTGTTCCACTTGAAAGAATTATTTTGCTTTCAACTTCCTTTTTTCCAATAACTTTGGCAGATATTCTGGCTGTTCTGCTGACAGATGTGCTTTTGCTGCTGCAAGAGAAAGACCAGAAATACATGTTTGCATCTATGGTATGTATTTGTCTCTGCTAAGGATAGGCAGGGTGTTGTGGAAAACCTGGAACTCTCTGTTGTTTCTGTAATAGCAAATAAATCTGAGCTACAGTAAAAAACCCTAGTTTGATTCTGTCTCTGCAAAGAAAATTCTGGGAAATCAATGCTTCAAAGCCTCAGTCCCTATCTACTGGCTTCTGCTTTTGTAAATTTCTGTAAGATATTTTATGTATGTGCATTACTACAAAAAAGTTCTACTGTTGGAGAGTTGATCGGCAAGATGGCATGCTCTTTGATAGCATACAATCTAAATGAATATTTTAATCTGTTTTTTTAAAAAAAATGGCAGTTGAATTTGCTTACCACTGCTGAGTTCATATTATAAAAATTATGATGCCTTCAGTCTCCATTGTATTGCAGTTCTATTTATTTATTTATTTAGTATATTTTTATTTATTTATATCAGTTATGTAATTACACAAATGATGTTAATTGACAAATGTTCTATACCCCCCCAGTCTGTTAAATCAAGATAATACTGTATTCTTATTGCATTTATATGTTCTGTATTTCCTTAAAGGAGCCAAATTAGCACACTGTGTTCTTCCTTGTGTGTGTGCGTGTGCATCTGTCAAACTGATTATGCCTTTGGTACTTTTCCTAGTATCTTCCACTCCTTCCAGATGGATCTGATTTACAAGTATACTGTATAAAGAAGAACTATTATAGCTGTTGCTTTTTAGGGTTGCCATAGATGGACTGATGATGATGATGATGATGTGTCTTGCTTCACAGGACACAAAGCCACCAGTGTTTTCCTTGCAAAAGCTGATAGTCCGAGAAGTGGCCAACGAGGAGCGAGCCATGTTCTTAATCAGTGCTTCCATGAAAGGACCAGAGATGTATGAGATTCACACCAACTCCAAGGAGGACAGGAATTTCTGGATGACGCAAATCCGCAGGGCAGTGGAGAGGTGAATATATAAAATATATTGTTCTGTTTCCCTCTGTACTGAGCTGGGGTCAGACTAAATGGCCCTTTCCAAGCCTATTATTTTGTCATCAGGAAATACAGATAGTTCTTGGTTAACAACGGTAATTGGCACCGGAGTTTCCATTGCTGAGCAATGCAGTCGTAAAGCGTGACATCAAGTGACTGCATTGCTTAGCAATGGCAATCCCAGCGCTCCCCATTGCCACAATTAAGCAAGGATCGCAGGTTGTTAAGTGAGTCTCAGGTGACTTACGAGTAGGCTGGCAGGCAGGTAAGGTGCATAGCATGAGCACAGTGGGGCCAGGGGTACTGGGTGGGGGAGGGTATGTGAGTGGCCCATGAGGCGCGGTACAAGGTCAGGAGTGGCGGCTGCCAGGCGGGGGAGGGTGCAAGCGACTTACCAGAGCGACTTGCTAGCTCCCCGATTGACTTTGTTTGTGGGAAGCTGGCAGGGAAGGTTGCAAATGGTGATCACATGACTGGGGGATGCTGCAACTATCGTAAGTGTGAACTGGTTGCCAAGCACCCAATTTGCGATCACGTGACTGGGGTGCTGTGGCAGATGGAACTTCAATGAATGGTCATAAGTCTCCTTTTTCAGTGCTGTTGTAACTTCAAATGGTCGCTGAATGAATGCTCGGTAAACGAGGACTACCTGTACAGTCCTGTTTGGACTAATCCTTGTGTTTTTTTGCTCACCCCAATTTTTATTTTCCCAACTTGAGTGAGAAGTAAGTGTAAAATTGGGTTTATGAAAACAGCCTTCTTTCTTTCTAACTGTGGCAGGACCCTTTTTGACCAGGATTTGAATGGTTCATATTTCTTTGCAGTTGTCCTAATGAGGATAGTGTCCTTGCTGATCCAGAAGAGGAAAAAAAGCAGGCTGAAGTGAGAATTGCAAAGCTGAAAGAATTTCAAGGTGAAGGCTCTTATCTTGCAAAATTGTGGATTATAAGGGGTACTTGTCTGGATGGGCTTGCTTAGTTTTGGGGACTTGTTCTTTCCTCCCTTGTAAAATATGCAGTCTCTTAGAGGAAGAGGAGAAGAGAAGTTACTATCAGACCCTCTTCAGTTGTGAATTGATCTGTAAAAGCACTACTGCCTTTTTGTCATCTTGCAAACAATGCCTCAAGAATGGGTCGCTGGGCTTGCTTTTGATGCAGCAGTAACCATCTAAGGACAGTGACATTCAGCTGTCTCTTCCCCCTTCCCCTCCTCCACCATCCAGAGCGTCTGAATATGAAAGATGATCTGATTATGCAAAGTCTAAATGAGAAGCAGCAGATCTACCAGGAAATGGCAGATATGAATGCTTTTGAGGACCTGGCTGCTGGCTCCCGTTTCCGGTTTATCAACAGAGTGGATTCCCCAGAGAACCTGCAAGGGGAGTCCATCCTCAAGCAGGCAGTGATAGAAGGTGGGTGCACTGGAGACGAAAGAGCAGGAAAGACATTATGTGTTAGGACCACATAATCTTTAGCATGTACAGCGGAGAGCATAATTAACTTCTTGTTAATACAGATATCCTCTTCTCCTCTTTCCCTGTTCATGTGCCTGCCTGCCTGCTGAAATTGGCTGCTTACTTCCAGTGGAGAGCCTTCAGAACCTGATCTTCACCCAGCTGGGCAGTGCAAGCTCTCATCCTGAAGATTCCAGTGGGTCTGGGCTGTTGAGGCGAGCTGAGACTTTTGGAGGATATGACAGTACCATGACAAGTCTATCCAAAAGTAAGCTGAAACAGAGGAAGGAGCATGAGATCTAATACAGGAATGGGTGTTCTGTGATTGCTCTCCCCACTGCAGATGGGATGCCATTGTACAGAAATGTTTTAAATCTTGCCTACTTGGCTAGCCCAGTTTGTACTGTTTCAGTCTCTGCAGGAGCTCCATTGTAGGGGGAAATGAACACCCTAGGTTCAGCAGATTGGTTTTCAAAGTGTGCACATGTATTTTGATCTTGCTCTCAGCAAAGTCATTGCATGCTCACGCGTGCTCTCTCTTTCGGTCTCGCTCTCTGTTCTTATGAGAAGAAACTTGGGCAATGGCTGTTAGACTTCCTTTTTTTGTTGTTGTTGAATGGTCTTGCAATGCCCTCTTTTATGGTGTTTGTTTTAAATAGCAGAGAATTTGATTTATTTAAGTAACTATCAAACTATCGCACAATTGCACTCATTTCACATGCTAGCAAGGTTATGCTCAAAATCCTACAAGCTAGTCTTCAGCAGTATGT